ACATCTAAGTCAAAAGCAAAGGCAAAGGGAAAAGCAGCAGAATATCCAATTCCAGAGTGAACTGAAGAAGGCAGAAACAAAGAACACAAAGGAAAACTCTAGAACAGGCAGCGAAAGAGAAACAAACCATGTCAGCATCTCCACCAAAGGATAAGGGCCCAAACACCCTCATTGAAAAGCCAAACATTTTTCTTGATACAAGACCAAAGTGCCCACCTTCATCATATAACAAAAGATAGGTTAAAACCTATGATGAAAAGATGTGTCATGCAAATACTAATCAAAAGAGAACTGATGTAGCTATATTAATACCAGGTGATAGAAGATGGGGGTTAGAGAGCAAAGTCTGCATGCTAACAGTCTGTTCAGAATAATGTTAAATGTCTGATATGATGATGTTAGGTGGATTTGACGCTTCCACATTGAATTCAAAAGCCATGGGTCACTTTAGACCTCATAAATGCAAGTGAATATAATTTATCTTTAGAAAAGGTAAAGTTGTCAGTCTATATATAATAGATATAATGATTACAGTTTCTTGAGAATTTAATAAAAGCCTCAAAATATCTGAAGAACAAGTCGATGGAACAAAAAGAGAAATAGAAAAATTGACAGTTATAGTTGGAGACATAGTCAGGGTTGTTTCAATAATTGACAGAGCAGTAGGCAGAAAGTCACAGTGTAAAGGAACTGAAAAACATTATTCCCAACATGACCTACTTACCATTCATAGAACACTTCACTCTCAAATGACAGAATAAAGGTTACTTCGAGTGCATGTACACTATACAACTAAACAGAGAGGTTGTATTCTCAGAGACCAAACTGCACCTTCTAATAATGAATTAACATCCAAGTGTATTCTGTGAGTTCAGTGGGAGGAGATGAGAAACTAAAACTATAAAAGGATCCAGAAGAGCTCCACATAGTTGGAAATTAACACATTCGTCAGAGAATCACAAATAAAATTATAACTATTTCAGAACTGTTATTTATCAAATACAAATAAAAACACAGTATATCAAGTTTTGTGAGTGGTAACGAAGGCAGGCTTAAAGGAAAATTTATGTCATTGAATGCCCATAATAGAAAAAGAGACACTGATGGGGGAAGTTCTTCTGTGTTAATGTTTGTCTGATTGGTATAAATAAAGCACTGTTGGCCAATAGGGAAGCAAGATACGTGGGACTAGGAGTCAAGGAGGATTCTGGGAAACTGAGGTACAGTCAGTCATGATATATGACACCAGAGGAGTAAGAGGACCGGACTTTTCTTCAGCAAGAGAAAACCATGTGGAAATACTCAGATTAGCAGTTATGGGTTCATAATTAAGTCAGAGCTAACAGATAAGAAACCAAGCAAATGGCCAACAAATTCATAATTAATATAGTGCTTCATGTACTATTTGGGGTCTGAGACAGCTGCAGGACCCAGGCACTAGCAGGAAGAATGCGTGTTACAAGACATTATTCTCAAGTAGCAATATATTATTCCTCCTTACGAAAACTATAAAAGGAATAAAAATTATAAACAAAAGTCAAAATTGGTTGAATTAAATTTAATAACAAACTTCTAGCTAGAGTTTACAAGCAAAATGTCAATATCTGATATAATATTGAAGACATTGGATATGTACACTTAAATTTTCATAAGGCAATTCTTTTAATAGTTATTACAATGTATATTATTCCATAGAGAATGTATAAATTCCAGGTGTGTTTGAGGATAGCCTGAGCTATATAGTCAGACACTATCTCAGAAATAAAGAAAAGGGAAGAAGGAAGGAAAGAAGGAAGGAAGGAAGAGACAATTCCATGAAAGACACAAACTATCAGAGATAACTGAAATAAAAGAAATTTCATTCATAAAAGAAATGAATGTGCAGGTAAATGGTCACCATTGATGGGAGTTATAATTGCTAATCACCATGCCTTGGGTATTTTTTCATGGAATGTAGCATTACCAAACTTTCAGTGTATACAGTTCAGCACAGTCAAAACCAAACTAGAACAAGCTCTATCAATAGTCAGTGAAGGAAGTGGGAGTGAATGGTGGGTGGGCCATAAATCTTTGACTCTGAACTAGTAGCTGTTGTTAGACTATGGCAAAGGGAATCACCATCTTCAGTTGTGTATTCATTACTGAACTCAGCAGACTCCAATGGATTGGTCTATATGTATCATCATACAAATGGACCTGGTCAATATGAGTGGATCACAATACAAAACAGAGAGAGAGAGAGAGAGAGAGAGAGAGAGAGAGAGAGAGAGAGAGAGAGAGAGAGAGAGAGAGAGAGAGAGAGAGAGAAGGGGAGAGGTAGGGAGAGAGGACTCCAATGGGTTGGTCCATATGTATCATCATACAAATGGAACTGGTCAACATCAGTGGATCACAATATAAAACACACACACACACACACACACACACACAGAGAGAGAGAGAGAGAGAGAGAGAGAGAGAGACAGAGACAGAGACAGAGACAGAGACAAAGACAGAGAGACAGGGAGAGACAGAGAGAGTGACAGAGAGAGACAGAGAGACAAAGAAGAGGAGAGGGAGGGAGAGAGAGAGAGAGAAGGTGAGAGGGAGAAGAGAGGGAGGGAGAGACAGATACTTTTTAAGGAGTGAGGCAAGGATGAATGAGGGTGGTAGGAATGTGAGGGTAAGAATGTTCAGTGTTCAATACATACATGTTCAACATTGTTAAAGAATAAATTTAATTAAAATACTTAAGACAGTCATAGCCAACTATACATAAATATTCTTGCAAATTTAGAAAGAGGAATATTTTGCTAACTCTACATATGAGACTACAACTGTGGTGATACATTGTTTATGATCTAATAAAGCTTACCTGGAGGTCAAAATGCAAAGGTAGCCACAGTCATAGAGGCTAGGCAGTGGTAGTAAACACCTGTATCCCACAGCCATAATAATTAGCCATGGAACCTGGGTGGTGGTGGTGGTACACATAATTCAAGCAATAGAGAGGAATATAAGACAGGTGCAGAATCTCAAAAGGGGTAATTGTTGTCCAGCCAAGTTGAGGACAAGATTGCCCCAGCCTTGGTAGAGGTAAGAGCTCTGGTGGCTTGGCTGCTTTGCATTTTATATCTTCAATTTGAACCATAATATCTGTCTGTGGGTTTATTTTATTCATGCTACATATTCATTCTCAGTATAAAGGTATAAATTAACAAAAAAGCCACTTGTCTGTGGCTTTGAAGCCACTGGTCCAGGATATCGTTACACATGAGATGGGAGTTGGAGTCCCTGCCTAGCTGACTAGGATTTCTCTTTTTTTTCCCCAAGTCTTTGAGCATGTTTGGGATTTTCCTATTGTAGCCTCTCTAAACAGTCTTCAGCTGACACCCAAATTCCAGAAGCAACTGGACTCCAAATGCTATAGGTTTTGCTTATTGATACCTATTCAGGTTTTCAATGGGCAATTGCTTTGAGGTCAGAAAAGGCTGATTCAGTAATCACACATTTGCTAGAAGTTATGACCATCATGTGTATGCTTGTATAAATAAATAAATAAATGAAACAGTTTTTTGCTTATTGTAATATAAAGCATATTACAGGTATACCACACAATCCTAAAGGGTAGGCACTTACAGAAAGATCAAATCAAACTCTAAAGGATATGCTAAATAAACAGAAATGGATGATAAAGAATTCCAGAAATAGATTTCATAGTGATTTATTTACTTTGAGTTTTCTGAATGCTAATGAGAAAGGAAAATCACCTGAGGAGAGACATTGGATAATAGAAAGTACTACAGAATTAAACAAGTCAGTACATTTCAAAGATGTGTTGACCTCAGAATAGAAATCAGGACATGGGTTATGTTAGGGAAGGGGTTTTGATTTTGTTTCCACAGGAAAAGAAAAATCTATGGGTACCATCAAAATTTATAAAGATTTGACTTGAACAAGAGACACCTCCTAATTCGAAGAGATCAAATAGCATGGCTGTTTAATATAAACTAACATATAAAACTAACAAATGATTTTCATTTGATCAGATATAACATGCCAAAAAAGAGCCTCCCCGAAATTAGAGTGAGGGAAGGGTTTGGTTTTTGTCTCTTCGGGAAAATAAAAGCATTCAGCGAAGGAATCTAAAGACTGGTGGACAAATGAGATATCTGAAGAAAAAGGACAAATCATCCAGGAAAAAATGTCTCAAGAAAAAGAGCAAATTGGACTATTATATCACAGTTACAACAGTATAAAATTTCCCAAATATTCTCAAATGCTTGTTTCTGCTTTTTTCTACAGACATATAAGGCAAATACTCTGTATGTAGTTTCAATCCAATTAAAGATTAAAGCTGGCTTTGGAGTTGCAGTGTGGCTTTCTCCTTCTCTAAGTATGCTTGCTAAAGTAAAATCCCAAATCTCTGTCTCATGTTAGAAGAGCTACCTGATACAGAACAGAAGAAAAGCAAAATTAAGGGACTACTGTATTGCCACTAATCTCATAATTTTTTTTATTTTATTTTGACTCATTGTAGCTTTTATTGGGGAATATTATCTAAAAATTTATAAGGTGAATATACATGTATATATATATTTTAAAGTTTTTTGTCATGATATTAATGGTCATATTGAATACTAACTAATTTTAGAAAAAGGTTTCATCTGTCTTGCTATACATGATTTCAGGTTTGAGTATCATTTTTTTGCAGTGAACCATGAACACACCTAATAGTGACATTTGAAGTCTCCAAAAGGAGCATGGGGCCCCACAATGACAATTTCACCAGGACTAGGATAACACCTAAAAAGCTAGTACACACCAACTAAAGATTGGCTTTGAACTATAAACTGCCCAGAACAATTTCGAGGTGACTCCCTGAGATGATCCAGCCTCACGTACTACTATGACCAGGACTTCAGACAAGCCCTGCATTTTCCCATTATGTGGAGACTGGATTAAAATAATACAGCTACCTCTCCCACTACTTCACAATTAACCTAAATATTTCTTTTCAGGATTCCCCAAAGATGGTGTCACACCCAGACGACAGGAAGCAAATTTAAGAACATGATACCCACGTTCCCAAGAGGTTAGATGGGTGGTTTTTGGTTTTTCACTGGGTTATGGATATTTGTCATTATTTAGGGGGATTGATTACAAGTTCTTACTGGATACAGTCATAACATTGCTAAATGAGCTAAATGAACCTATATAGCTGTATAGGTACAATATCTTATACAAGATTAAAAATGTATGTACAGTAGGTTTTAACAAATCTCTAGTCCTTGAAAGATACTATTAACAGCTATATAGGATAATAATGAAATGCAGATTAACAATTAGTCACCTATTACAATCAAATTTGTAGTCATATTAAGTATGCTTAACAAGATAAACGGGGGTATATTTTAGAAAGACGCGTCATCTTCAAACACATCGGAGATCTACAGACTATGACATTTAAGATGATTTAATAGCATAGGTTCTTTTTATGACAATGAGGCATGTCTGCTTCTGGCAGCACCATTCTACTACAGAGAAGATGATGGACATCAAAGAAACTAAGATGGAATTTACTTTCTTTGTGGCAAAAGTAAGCCACTGACCAGGAAAGCAGCCGTGCCTCGACAAACAGGACACATAAGAGACTGCCAAACCTTCCCAAGACAAGACAAGAGTGTCCTTCAAAAATCCTGCTTCATAGAACAGTCTACCAAATATTCTGGGCCCATAGGATGGATGTCCCGATGTTGCAGAGGACCTTTGGTTGACTGTCTAGGAAGCCAGCTGTTTTTGTCATTTCCCACATTTTTGGAAGTCAATTGCTCACTAACTGCTTATGCAGGCAATATTATTCCCTTGTTAGGTCTCTAGGGGAGTTGAAGACTAGATGGTTACAGTTACAGTTTTCCTTGTTTACCAGACTCAGAAAAAAACTCACTAAATAGTTGTAAAGTGTGAAAGGTTGATAGATTTTGAAAGATAATTTAATAATGCAGATTAGAATAGAAAGTAAATTAGGTAAAAGATTTTGGACTCACCAAGGTAGGATAGATAATGGAGTATTTTCTCTGAATGTATCAAATGCAAATGGACTGAACATTTTTGATGTAATTATAGCCTTTATATTTTGTATATAGTTATTATACATGGTTTTTCTCACATTAGTTGTAGACTTCATTTTGTATTGACAAAAAAGGGAATTGTGGTGATATATTGTTTATGATCTAGTAAAGCATACCTATGGATCAGAATACAAAACTAGCCATACACATAGAGGCCAGCAGTGGTGGTACACACCTTTAATCCCAGCAGCCATACTAGTTAGCTATAGAAGCTGGGTGGTGGTGGTACACTCCATTAATCCCAGCACCAGAGAGGAATATAAGACAGGAACAGGGTCTCAAAGCAGGCAATTAGTCTCCAGCCATGTTGAGGACAGGATACTCCAAGACTAGGTAGAGATAAGAGTTCTTTGGTAACTTGGATGCTTTGCTTTTCAGATCTTCAGCTTGAATACCAACATCTAACCCAAACTATGTAGGCATTAACAGAAAGTTAAATCATTCCATTTTACTGATATATATATACAGAATAATCTTAAATCCTTAAAGGTCAAATACTTCAATATATTGAAGTAAATATAGAAATATAAAATTGTTCAGCATTCGAAAACATGTGCAATGTAAATGACTACATAAGTAAGATTAAAAAGCAGTTAAGTGTTTTATGTTTAAAAAGCATTTAAAAAGTTTTGAATCATCCAGTATGTAAATTGTTGGGGAAGTCTTTTGTCAATAAAGCACTGTTGAGCCAATACGAATCTAGATAGGTGGAACTAGGAGTCCAGGAGGACACTAGGAAGGAGAAACACAGGAGAGTTTGACATGTAACGCCATGGGGTCAGAAGCCCGGAACTATTCTCCGGTAAGAGACATACATAGATTAACAATTATGGGGTAATTACTTAAGTCAGAGCTAGCCAGTAAGAAACAAGCAAGGCCAACAGCTTTATAACTAATATAGCCTCCTGTGTGTTTATTTGGGACTGATGCGGCTCTAGAACCAGGCTGGCGGGAAGGCTCCTCTCAAAGAAAAAGCCTCTCATTACAGTAAATGGTCAGCATCTATAATGTTTCTTCAACTTCATAGAGGCCATAAAAATTATTACAACAAATTATAAATGGCTGAACGTGTACTCCTAAACTAATGGGGTCTTGATGGTACTTCAACTCAGTATCATCATATTGGAGGTCCTAGCCAGTGAAGCATGATGAGGATAGAAAATAAAAGTCTTCAAATTAGAAAGAAAGAGGCAAACCTATGGATATTTATGTATATTATCACCAATATAAAAAATTCTAAAGAATATATAGAAAAACTAATAGTTATTCTTTGAGATTTCTCAAGGCTATTGAAATCATAGTATATAATATTGGTTATATTTTTATATGTTAGCAATTAATCATATTTAAATTATTTTCAATTGTACAAGACTTATCAATACAACTATATATGAAATATATGTAATATTTATTTAATAGTAATCACAAATTACTGATGAGCTAAATCATATGAATCTAAGATGAATGAGAGATAAACCATGTCCATGGATATCTTACCACATACCTTACTAAAATATGAATGTAGAACTTTCTCATTTTCAGATCATAGAAAAATCTTTCTGATACTTGGTGAAATAAAATTTCTCAGGAAATCACTAAGTGCTACATTTGTAAGGAAAACTCAGAGAAAGATGGGGTAAAGGAAGAGGGAGAGAATGGAGTTAGAACTGAAATTTTAGCAAATAGATGGCAAATAAACACAGGGACAAACTCTTGACATCATTAAGCACTAATAAAATACAATTTAAAATAACAATACAACATCTCCATGAACACATAATTGAATGGATATAAACAACTCTGAAAATAATTAGCAATATCGTGATGTGACAAGCCCAGAACTCCATCTTTAGGTACATGTGAAGTAATACAAGGATGTTGAAAAGCAAATTTAGAGTTTTATGTAAGTAAATATGTGCCTTATGAAAGTAGCAACATTGAGACTTCATGGTATTTTTCATGAACAATGAGATATAGGTCTACACAAAGATTTATGCATGAATGTCTGGCCATATTCACAATGTCTCCAAAGTGAAAACATGCTAAGTGTATCTATAGTTGGAAATGAATTAACAAATTGAGTCAGAGCCACATGGTGGGCTGAACAACAAAAAGGATGTATATAGGTCTGTCAGAAGTACCCTGTTACCCTGAATTTGTAGTGCATATCCACCCATAAAACAGTCTAAGTAGGAATGGAAAAGATATCACTGGTTGTTGGGAGGCAGGAGAAAAGGGGAGGGGTTGACTAAAGAGGGTGAGGGGGTTTTCAACATGGTGGACGGTTACAGTTGCCAAAGATTTTGTGGCTCCAGAGTAGTGCATGTTTCTAATTGTTCACAGAACTGTATGGTTTATAAGGACACATTTTATTACATGTAGATTATGCTTTATTAAATCCAACTACACAAAAGGTTGAAAGAAACACCAAGTGACCATTAACAACACTTAAATATAATCCCATCATTCCAGAGAGCCAGGAGATAGCCTGAAAAAGAAATGGCATGCTTGTTCTCTGTGTCTGCTAGGGAGAGGGCTCTTGTGTGATGACAAGAGGACACCAGGGATATGAGAGGCAGCTGATTAACTAACCGTGAGGGTGCCATTCAACTGACAGTTTAGATAATAGTCTGGCTACAGATTTCTTCAAAGAATGTAGAAAAGAGAGGCATGGTAGATTAATATGCTCGTGTAATATGCCAAAATTTTATATCCCTAAGAATGAATGTATTCTGCTAACTAAATAGAAGATGTCCTTGATATTGTTAGATGGATTGATACGATATTTGGAGGCAACTTTTGGGTTAAAAATTAGCTAGAGAATTGTTTTGAGCAATGTGTATAAGTGGTGCAAAACCGTATTTCTACCAATTACTTTTCATAAAAGTATCTACCAGTAACAGATAGTTAACATGTTCATACCACAAAATTCAAAAAAATTACTTCAAAGTATTGGAAATGTTAAAGATTTAAAAATATCTGGGAAGGTTATAGATTAAGCATGAGGCAAAATATGGAAATTTTGTATATGTGTGAATGAAATGCTTGGTTTTAAAGAAGGATGAATTATTCTGCTAAAAATCTAATATCAACCTAAACTCAGAATGCACAGGGATCTGAATGAAATATTCTCCAAATCTAATTTGACATCACATTTGTTTAGCATGAATTCAGATAGACTGGAATATCAGAACACAGCAGGCACACTATTTTAATGTTTCCCAGAATGAAAAAAGACAGAAAAATTATGCAATTTCCCATACCAAATGTATTTATAACTACTGTAGTTTACCTGTCTCTTTGAAATTTCTGTTTCCTGCTCTTCTATCTACTTCACCAATGATGACTTGGGACTGTCTTCTTTCTACCAGTAAAATAGATACCTGTGTGACCTGACACTTAATCAAACAAATCCTTCTCAATTCGACATACCCCATCTCCAAGAAACCAGATGGAATCCTAAGGAGCTATAGAGAGCTATCACAGCAAACTTTCACTGTCAAAGAATACATACTGTCATGTGGGCTAAAGATTTTCTCTCATTTCTTCCTGGATTTCTGAGAACTTAATGGTGAAGAAACAGTTTTCAAAATTTTGATGAAAATTAATCTACCAAACTCAAGAAGACATGTTGCTTGACCAATATTCATTTTTGGTGTTACATCCATCCAAATACTATTATGAAAACACTTCCCCTTGGTTTTCAAAAGCAATCAAAATATTAGAAAATCAGGATGAATTCTCAGGATATTCAATTCAGGAAATTAAATATAGCTATATGAAATTATATAATACTTATAATATGATTAACCATTCAACTCTACATGGCCAATAAAATAAGCAAAACATTAAAGCTATCTAACCTTTATATAATAATTTAAGTGTGCATCACTTAGATGGTGTTTATCAGTATTTTAATGGTTACCTAGATTAAAATGCTATTCAATTTTCTTAGCCTGTCAGA